GCAGCTGAACTCTAGGTAGCTCTCCACTGGGCAGTGATAGCTGTTGGGGAGGTGCAGCAGGGAAAAGGATGTGCACCTTGAGAGGAGGAATCTGTACAGCCCCAGAACTGCCGTGTGCCTGGCCTTGTCATGGCTGAATGTGGCTTGCACAGCACCTGAGGAGCCAGCTGAATGGCTACAAGGTGGCACTGGGGAGCAAGGATGACCACTTTCATCTGTCGCAGAACTTCATCTCCCCCTTTGACAGCATGTGTTTCTCCTTCTAACAATGACCAGCTTAAAAATGCAAGGAGAATAGCTGCAAACAAACATCCAACTTTAAATGGCTCATCCATCCTGAGACGCTTGATCCAAAGTGTCTCTTTGGGTTTTCTGGGGCTCTACTAATGCCACACCTTTTTAGTAGAATACACCAATGCAGTCATCCTCTGGCTACAAATATCCACGGGAAGAATAGATGTGCCCTTTAATAACAGGGAGAGTGCTTAAAAAAGAACACTTTATTGCGGTGTTTCCTTCACCACAGTAAATTGCAGCATTTTCATTTTCCTGTATTTATTGCATTGAAGTGTTTATATCACTATGAAGCAAATATTTGCTTTCAAAGGTCACTCATTGTATCTCTCTTCCTCTGGGGATGTATGTAGGTCTCTCTTAGACTTCAGTATAAGTCCATAAGGATATATAATGTTCTCGCTATGAGATTCTTTATTGCATCTGAACACTGCTAAAATAGCAGATGCAGAATTCAAAGTATAATAGGCAATGTGTTTCCATTAGCCAGTCTCTCTTTGTATTTTTCTTTAACCCTTAGTCTGCTTTTGTGCTACCATATAAGCACCGGTATAATGTACAAGAATGGCTCACAAGGAATTTGATGTAAGTCACCCAAGTCCCCAAAGTGACTTGCATTGTCTAGAAGACACAGGGTACATGACCTATACAGTTTTTTGTAGCAATGTTTGGAATTTTTTCTTCTTCTAAGAGATGTTTGTGTGTGAACCCAGAGGATTTCCTTTCCCTTTTCTGAAATGGAAAAACCAAGGTCCTTGTGAAATTTTGAGCTTGCATTTGCATATACACTTATTGCAAGTATAAGCACAAATCGCCTGAGTGTTTGCAAGTGGCTGTAACTTCTGCAGAAACTTTTTTTTTTTTAATCAAAGTTTTAGATCTAAAGAGCTTAACATATTACATCACAGCTTTGGTTTTCTGATCTGTCATTGCTGCAGTGACTGTAGACAAAATAAAATGTAGTTTATGTTGAAAGTACAAAGAACATTTTGAAGAATTTATTTCCAGTTATATCAGAGGTTCCTAAGGCAATTATAGGATTTTGATACTTGTTCAAATCAGCTGGAATGAGAACTGAATGCAAAATATCAGCTATTATCAAAAATATAAATTCCACAAGGAATTTATTATCCAAAGTCCTCAATAGTATCTTTGGCCTGTTCCCATCCTACTAAAACAAGAGCAGGTTTCAGTGGGCCCAAGACAGACTAATACCTTATGCTTTTGAAAGTCTGTCCAGTAATCAGTGAGAGCAAATCTGTTGTGGTTTACCTTTCCTTGGCCATTCCTGTAATGATTCTGTTCCAGTGTTTTAATACATCAATAGGACTATATATAGGTGTTCCTAAGAAAAACCATAGAGGGAAAACTGTTAATTTGTACTGTAGAGAAATAATTCCCTTGAAAATAAAATCTGCTCCCTACAGGATTTTATTGACAACAGGGTTTATTGTTGGAAATTCATGATGCTGGAATGGAATTTCAGCCTAAATGGGTCTTTTCAAGGAAAATTTTACCTCTAAGCTGTTGTATTCCACATTTTAAACTGCAAAATCCGCAAAAAAAATTAAGCCCATTCCCAGCCATCTATGGTTTATCATACTGTGTGCAAATCAGTAACCTTTATTGATTCTTGTGCACAGTTTTCTATTAAATAAAGTTGAATCAGCACTGCTGCGGGGCACTTCTGTTTATGACTAAAACTTGATGTAAAATGACTTGTCTGGAAGAATGCTTTTTGCTATTTCTCAATCCATTCTAAGTGCTTTACAAATACCAAACAATCTCAATAAACCTGTCAAGTTCGATCGCTTGCTACAAAACATCTCTCTGGTTACAACCTCGGACTTTTTTTTTGCTTGATGCAAAATCAGATATGTCTGTCACTAAGATGCCAGCTGATGTTTCTAACTAACCGAGAAGAATAACTAAAGAAAAATCACAAAGTTTCTCCACTTTGCTTCTTTTTTGCACTACCCAACACCACCACTGGCTCACGATCAAAAATTAATAAGTAAAAGATCAAAAGTCAGGCTGGGATCTACTTGAGAACTGAATTATCTGTGGTGACTGAAAACCAGACTGTGTCAGTCGTTATTGTCAGTAGAAGCACTCATGTCACCTTCACTTGCTTACATGTCTGCAATCATTCAGCTCACACTGGATATGCTTAGAGATGGAACCAAATCCCCTGTTAGCATCCCATCCTCTCACTGAGGCATCACCTCCCACTTTACAGCTAGTAAGATGCTACCAGATAGACATAACGCAGAACAAGTTTTCTGCCCTTTGCAGCTAGATGTATATACCAATTAGATCAGTCCCAAAGTTATGTCTAAATTGTCCTGATTTTTGCTAAAGCTCAGTGCTGTTATCCTGCCAGCACAAGTGTAATGAGGAATCCAGGCAGAGGAGAATATTTTAACTAAATATTCTAAAACTATGTCCACAGATTTAATCCTGGTATTCTGCCGCAGACACTGTGCCAGAAATATTTAAATGCTGGGTTTTGCCTCGATCTAGGAAAAAACTAATTTGTGGAGCAGTGACCAGTGCTAGTTCCAGCCTGTGCCAAGTGTGACAGGAGTTTGGAGAGTGGCTCTTTACCGAAATAACTTCTTTTATCCTGGCTGAGCGTGCTCCATTTGCTGACCAGGAGGAGTGTCTTGCTGGAGGTGCATGATGTGCCACAAAAGATGATGCAAGTGCAGCTGCAGGGCAAGAAGGTTGGGGTGGCCTTGAGAATGTCCCCGCACTTTCACATGCCCTTCAGGAGGAGACCAATTCCTGGTTCGTCTTTTCCTCCTAATCCTCAGGGTGTGCCATTTTTTGTAAAGCCTATTTACTGCTGTTTGTGAGCATCCTTGAAGTGCCTGATATCAGCCAGAATATTAGCCATGAAATTAAGCTCTGCTTTTGCATCAGCTGGGGCTGTAGATGAGTTGCTTAAGCTTGGTCCTTCGCACCGCTGTGACCATGCAGCTGGAATAACCGGGTGGGCTTCTTCTCCAGCACACATTTGGGCTCCTAAACATTGTGTGACCCATCACAAAACGTCAGTCTCCCTCTGACAAGGATGTGGTGATGTGCTCAGTGATGAAAGCAAGGTGCCGTGCCAGTAGCTGCAGGGCTGACTCCTCAAGATGGATTTCTTCTGCTGTAGCTTCAAAGAGGAAAAGCAACCATGAGCAAGGGCACAGCTAATGCGAAGGCATGAAGGTCACATACTCCCTCTTAGATAAGAAAAACAGCAAGTCCACTGTTGAAGCTGCAGAGGAAATGCAAGGAACTGTCTGCTTTCCTTACACATTTCTAAGCAAACGGGGTGCAATCCAGGAAATCTCCCTACTCCTCAGCTGTACCTGTTCAGCCCATACTCCTCTCGTCCTGACAGTGAGTGCTGTCAGAGTGAGAAACAGATCCATCTCCAATAGATAATAACTTCCATTTAAACAGAGTTATTATTGTTAAAATTTTAGAGCCAAGCTCTGCCCTGACTTATCTTGTTTCATAAAGGCTGCACATATCGCAAAGACAGGACAGAAAATAGCCCCTGGGATTTTGCCTTCTTAGAGCAGCTTTGCTGAAAGGGACTGCTTTTGTCCTCTTTCTGTAATTGAGGATTATGGCATGTGCTTTATGGCTGTTTATTTGCAGTCCCCCACATCTTCCCCACCTCCTCTGCACCTGGGATTAGGTTTTCCTGCAATGAACAAATCTAACAATTCAGTGAACAGTAATTTGCAATGTGCCATCTTTGAATCAAGCAAAGAAATAAGCCAGTGTTGTTGTTATAAGAACCTGACAGATGGTAGGAGGACCCGCCTTTCTTAATCAAGTCATGCTCAGTAATCAGAGCTAGCTCGAATTTATAACAAAAAAGAAACTCTACCCAAATGAGGATTAATGGGCTGCATCCTAGGCTCTGGTTAGGATGAGCTCAGTGACATTCTGTACTGAGAGGGATAACTAAGATCAGAATCTGACCCACTGTGGGGAGAAGTTGAAAATATCAGCCAAGTCCTGCCATCACTTCCCCTGAAATGAAGGATTCTCCCAGGTACACAACATCTCCCAGTCTAAACATTATTCTCCCAGATGTAAATAATATTTCAGAGTCTGAACTAGAGCATGGTAGGCAAGTCATTAGCCAATAAAAATCTTCAAAGTTGCATTGTCTTTAATTTCATTGCAGATGTATTAGCTGAGCATCCAATCCTCCAAGTGATGCAGCTGAAATACAGGACATGAGGGACATGGGCTTGACCTTGACCTCCTTCGTGTTAAGGCTTTTAATTCTAGAGAAGAATGAATGGGTCTCAAGACTCTTTCTGGTGGCAAAAAACACCTCCTGAGTCTCCAGCTTCAATATGAATAGCATTTGAAAGGTTAAGAAAAAAAGGAAGGATTTTCCTCAAAGAACATGGCAAGGATACATCCTTGTTCTTCGAGAGTGATTAATAATACAGGCACCACCTTGAACAATCCTGTATGCTCTGTACTATATTGTTATCCAGAAGGAAAGAGTTTGGCTGAGGGCACTCACGTAATAAAAGCACTTTTGTGGGACTGACATTTAAGCACCATTCAGTGAGTCAGGGAGCCTAACCACACTGTTTCTTTCCCTTTTCACTCTCTTCCAGGCTCACAAGCAGCTAAGCGCAAATCCTTGATCTGCAGCTTCCACAAACACACCCACAGCTAAAATGGCGGAAGATGCTGACATGCGCAATGAGTTGGAAGAAATGCAGCGGCGTGCCGACCAGCTTGCTGATGAAGTGAGACCGATAGTTAAATGGGAAACTTGGGGTTGGGTTTTGCGTGAGAGACGTATCCAGAAATAGGTGCTGATCCAGCAAAGGATTTTTAGGGCTGATTCTGTTTTCCATCAGCTTTACACTGAAAGCAGAATTGGAAACAAAATGAGCTGGGGTAAAAATTAGTGTCATGTTTAGTCTAGATTAAGGCATTTATTGATCGTGAGTTTGGTTTAGATATTAGAGTCTGCATCAATTTGACTGGCCTCAGAGCAAAAAGAAGCAATTTAATATTTTCTGAGGATTCCTTCAATTTGCCAAACCTATTAAATGTTAAAAGTCACTGATTAGGTCTCTGAAAAGTCTTAGCTGAGAACCACAGACTCTATTTTTAAAGTGGAACACCAGCTGTTCCAAGCACCACCACCACAACGTGTGAGCAAGGGGAGCGCAAGCCTTAGAGACTGCAGCTGCCCCAAGATGCAGTGGGAACTGCTGCATTAGCGAGCTGTAACAGAGAGATGAAGATGAAGAGATTACCAGTACCCTGCTGATGGCCTGATTTTTAGGGAAGTCAAAGAGCGTAGGAAAAGCATACTGTCAGCATGAGCCTGCACATTAGTGTTGGAAACCGTATCTTGCCAAGTCTAAGAGGTTTTTCCTGTTTTTTTTCAGTCCCTTGAGAGCACCCGTCGAATGCTGCAGCTTGTTGAAGAGGTAAGAGCTTGCATTTTATTTGCATTTCTGTTGTGAGCAAAAGTGAGGGAGAGTCTGACAGTGGAAGTGTTTTTTTGTTAACTCACATTGCTAGGGTGTGGCCATGGCTTAGTGTGCCACTCCATCCCTCCTTATCCTTACCCCCTTACGAGGATCATTCAAGACACTGCGCCCTAGTTGCCAAGACCAGCTGCTGAAGTACTGTTTTGCCCATACCTGGGTATCTGCTGAGACAGGCTACTTGAGATAAACCAAGGAAACAGCCTCTGAAGGTGACCTGGAATCAGGGACAAGTGGCTGAGTTTGCTGCAGAGCTCCTGGAGTCTTGTGCCGGCACTGCTCTGGCATCCTTGCCCTAACACTGCAAGCGGGGAAGGTGAGAAAGTCCCTTGAACCATTTGCCCTGTTGTCCCTAAATACCTCCCTCTCCATAAACACTTGCAGCTATTTATAGAGCATAAGTCACCACAGAATATAAGTTCCACTTCTTTATGCATCTCTGAAATATTTAGTAGGATTTCAAGGCTCATGAGATGTCCTAGATTGACAGCTCTGGAGGAGGAAGTTCTCTCTTTTTTCCACGGTGCTAAGGAAGGGAACCCAGGCTCAGTCCTGCCTGGAGGGGTCACTCCCAGAAGGGGAAAACCAAGCTGGTCAGGCTTTGTTTCACCTTCTTTGTAACAAAGGAGTTTAAAAGTCATAAATTCCCAAACTCAGTTCAGTTTAGAGTGTTCAGCCATTGGGTGGTGGAAAACTTTGCTCCTGCTTGACAGAATGCATTATTTTCAGACACTGTGTGAGCCTTGGCTCCAGAGCTGGTGACATTTTTAATCAGGGTCATCAGCACTGACAGTCCTAGCACTCCTGACAACCAGAGGAGTCTCCAGCAGAAACAACGGGAAGAAAATTACATCAGGTTCCACCTTCAGGAACAAGCACAAGCCCAGCCGTAGGCTTCATGGCCTTGAAATCAATCACAGCTGTGGAGATCAATGGAGCCCAGTGGAGATAAAATTAAATTTCCATGTACAGACAGACAGACAGACGGGTCGTTGAGCATAGTCAGCATCACTTGTCCTCCACAAACACTTCAGATCTGGGCCCCTTGCAACCAAAGCATGCTCTTGTCTCATGAGCAATCTGTCCCTTTCTGCTGCTCCGTTCCCTGGACATGCCATTTCTGACCATCACTTTATGTCAACTCCATGCTGGATG